ACGAAAGCTTATGCTCTAATAAATTTGTTAGTCTCTAAGGTGCCACAAGTACTCCTGTTCTTCTTTTTGCAGAAACCACAAGGTTCATATTAGAAGTGATTCTCCCCTATTAACAGTGAGAGTTCATTTTCTCTTCTCCAAACACTTGCCCACCATTAAAACCCCATTTGGTGATTTATTAAGGTGAATAATCCTAGCAATAGAAAACACAAATGTGTAACTAGAAAAACATTTACAGGAGTAAGAAAGCATAAAGATATATTTTTAATAATATCCGGGCATGTTCATGGCACAGTATACATGAATTTAAACAGTATTTTTCCATTTCTGTTTTCTTATCTATAAATACATTGTATTTTTGCTGATTAAACACTTTAGTGAGAAAATTAGGGAGGGAAGTGGGGAAAAAAATACCCAAGATGCTTCTTTGGAGGCATGTCCTTTACGTTGCCCAAAGAAGGAACATGAAGCTTGGTGGATTACTGCTATAGGAAACCAAACCGTAGTAAATCATTGCTTTTCAAAACCAACCCTGTTAGTTTTGTGGGGAGAGCGGAGGGGTCACTCCACTCAGATATTGCTGCTACTCTGAAACTGGAGTCAGCAACACCCCAAAGCCCCATGCTTTATTTAGTGGCAGCTGGTCTCTCCAGTAATCTCAATGTTTGGTGCCTGAAAGGTGGCTGAAGATTATTGCCAGTGCTATAAATGGGCTGGTTAGTGTCTGGAATTGATAAACTTGGCAGAGAAGTGGCATAGTAATTTTTTTTAATTGCCAAAACTTTCTAAAGCTAAATCTAGGGTATCCCTTTTGGGGACACAGTTTGTATGTAGAGTTTTAATTATTATTTTTGTAGCATGGTGAAAGAAGAATGATTTTTTTGTTCTCTGTGCCTCATGGCAGGTCAAGGCAGTGATTGTCATTTTGACAGCCTTAAGCCACTGGCTCTGTTATATGGTTGTGTTTCCACACCCTAGAGCTATTCTGAAAGGAAACCACAATTCCAGAAATAAGAGAAAAGAAAAACAAACAAGCACTCATGAAAGTGAGAGAGGGTGGTTTGTTTATTATAATCATCTTTTTGAATATATGATACAGATCTTTCACCTTTTTCATGATGATCTTTACAAATATAGGGGCAGATTGTGAACCCCTTACTCAAATTCACAGGGGCTGATCCTGAGCTGTTATAAATTGTCACAGCATCATGGATTTTAAGGTTGTGATTATCTAAGTCTGACATCCTACATAGCATAGGCCATAGAATTAAATCCAGTTCAATAATGTAACAAGCAGTTACTCGTGTGAGTAGTTTCACTGAAGTCCCATGAAGAACTGCTCACCTGTGTGAATAAGACAATCACAATCTCCCCCATCATTTATAGAAATACCTACAGGAAATGAGTTAATTCACCATAACCAAAGTAACTTAAATGGACCTGCCAAGAAGTATATGTACAATAGCTGAGTAACCACGTGATCCTGTTCCTTTCACTCTTTTCTTTCCCTCCCCGCTTTTACCTCTGTTTGTTACTGTCACAAATTGTCTGTCAGTCACTGTCTGCCTGATGTCTAATTAGATTGCAAGACTTTTGGGGCAGAGACCACTGGCCTGCTTTCCAGAGGTGCTGAGCATCCTCAATCCGCACTGATGTCAGCGGTAGCTGTTTGTAAAGATGCCAGATTGACAGCCTCGGATGTGATGTTTTCCTGACCTTGTAATGATTTCCATTTTTTTGTGGGGGTATATCCTGAAGACAGCATCTGTGCACCTAAGTCACTGTCTAGTCAGCAAGAGTCCATTAGAAGAAGTCAATTTTACTGGTAATACTCACAATTTCTAAAAAAGAATAGCAACACAATGTAAGAACAAACCTTTTCACCAAGCTCTAACTGCCTATACATTTAGTTAAACATCATTTGTAAGACTAATATAATAGTTCTCCATAGTCCTATTACAGATAGAGACCAAACTTCCTCAGCCACCTCAGTAGTACAGTCCCTCCAATGTTGCTCCACTTATATGCCTCAATTATGACCTATAGGGGCCAACTACAGCAGAGAACGTTTTAGTCATTATACCAACAAGGGTATCATTTAGTGCCACATATGCTTTCTGTGATGTGATAGACTCAGTAGAGACTGGACTGGTGCTACCTGCTAAATTCACATATTCCACCAAACCACCCCTTTCTTTCTAATGCACATCACCCTGGGACGTTATAGTACTACAGCAAATAGATGAGGCTGAAGAGTAGCTGGAGAGAATGAACAGATTACAGATAACAGTGATACAAGGCAGCAGTAGGAAATGCCTTTGACACAACATGGTAAACAACAATCTTTCTTGTAGTTCTGATTAAGAAATTACAAATGTGTAAAGAAAATTTGAAATATTAAATTACGCTAAGATTCTGCAGTGCTAAGCTACAAGGCACAGTTACACAATGTCATTGAAACATTCTGGAATGAGTTGAATTTGAAACAAATTCATCTCCAAGTGACATCCAAGTCACTGGGGTTGCACAGGTGTCAGTGAAAACAGAATTTGAACCACAGGCTGCAAATGGAGAAGGCAAATATGCTTGTTCATGCAACACAATATTCTCTTTCATTATGAAAAGCTTTAACACTAATGAAATTAGGCAACCACCAAAGCAAATTATATAGAGTCCTTTAGAGAGCTACAGTACATATTTTGGGATACTATTGGAGGAGTGTCTTTTCCGTTGTGGTTGTTACCATTTACTAATTAAGTTTTAGTTACTTGAATCATCGGAATTATTTTCACTGATACCTGTTTGTAGGCTATTGCCTTTTTCTCTGTTTTGCTGGCGACTGGTATCTAATGCCTTTGGAATGTCACTATTGACTTATTGAACTCTACTGTCTTGTTTCATTGGATTCACTGGAATTACTGGAGCTGCTGGATTCACTGGAATTACTGGAGCTGCTGGATTCACTGGAATTATTGGAGTCACTTGTGGCACTGGGGTCGCTGGAGTCACTTGAGGCACTGGGGTCGCTGGAGTCACTTGAGGCACTGGGGTTGCTGGAGCCACTTGAGGCACTGGGGTCGCTGAAGGCGCTAGCAGCACTGGGGCTGATGGAATCATTGGAAACACTAGTATTCTGATGAGCAGCTTTACTTGAACTCTTTGATTCACTGGGAATACTCTTGCAGTGTTTTGGAGTGGATTGCGCAGAGTCGCTATTGCTTTCTTCCTGCTGACTAGAGTTAGAGTCAGCACTATCACCAGCATTACCTGGATCAACCCTTTGCATGCCTTCATCGTTAAAATAACCGTTGTCTGAATGATGGTGGCCATTATCCATATCCTCATCCTTTCCCCCTACGTTAAAGCTACTGTCACTGTGGGCTTCTATGACATCTTGTTTGTCAGTGGAGAGCTCTGCATCCTCAGGTGCAAAACCCTCTTCTGCCCATGCTGAACCATAAATGCTGTTTTTCCCTGGTAAATGTTCAGATGGATTCTCTTCACTGGTGCGGTTTGTGTTCACATGAAGGTCTAAATGAGGATGGTTAATTCCTTTCCCTGTGCGGAGCTCAGCATTTTGATCAATGTTTTGTGTTCCCTGGGTATTATCAGGGTCCTCAGGGGCTGGTTGATTATTGGATTTATCCTCATAAGCCCTCTGGGGATAGTTAATATCAATTGCAGACACCTCTCCAGTTTGATTGGGTCCTCTTGTATAATTACTGAATTTTGCTCCTTCTGGGTGCCCATCGTTTTCATTCTCGCCATTCTGTTGGTTCCTCCCAGCATTCCCAGAGCCATTGCTTAAGATTTCTTTGTTTGCATTAATGGCATTAACGTTGGCAACATTTTCTGCATAGCCACTTCCAAGCAAATTTACGCTTCTTTTGATCTGTCAAGAGGACACAGTCCAAACTATATTACATAGATAGTTTATATATTATATATATATTTAGAAACTTATTATGTTTCTAAAGCACAATGAAGGAATAGGATATCTTACCTAATGTATTAAAGTACCAGAGTACTAAAGAAAAAATCCACTTAAAAATACAAATTAATTACCATTTCCTCTGTTGGAAATGTAATAGTCACCTGCCAAATTACCAGTGTTTGGGGACAATCTATATCGTCTCTTTAGCCCTGATTCAGCAAGTCCATCCCTGTTCAACAAAATACTGAAACGTATTTAAACCCAACTGACTTCAAAGGGACTTAAGCACACGTTTGAGTGTTTTGCAGCATCTTGCTGAACTGGAGCCTGTGTGACTTCAATTTACTTCCAGAAGCCAGCATTAAGCAATGGGCCAAATGGTCTTCTCTTACAGTTCAGCAAAACATCTAATACTGTTGACAACAATTTAAAGAATTTGTGATTTCACTGTGATTGCACGTTGAAAGCACCAACTATTTATTTTTGCTTCAAATTAAAGTGAAAATAGATTTACAGCGGTGTAACAGAGATCAGAATCTGGCCTCATAAGCCTGATCCTGTAGTCCTTTTCCAGCTTTCCCTGGGTAAGGACTGCAGGATTGAGTCTCATTTTCTGAAGGCTGGGAAAATGCAGTGCCATTTGCACAATACCTAAGACTCACAAAAGAAATAGTTTAGCTAAAAGGTAATGAAACCTGCCCCATTGTCAGACAGGTAGAAGACTCGGATATTGTAACAAGGCCAGGTAAACCTTTGACCAGATTTGTAACACAGTCTCTTCCCTCCAGCAGACTCTACTATTGCCCCAAGAGGAGCAGCTAGATTATGGTCTTATCATGTTTCAAAATTGAAAAGTTAAATTGATGTATAGTTAGAGATGGGGAAAAGCATCAATTGATTTGCTATGCACATTTTTTTACAAAGCGGAGATGTTAGTAAAACAAAGCCTCAAAAGACATTATGAATGCAAATTTTAAAATGTGCGCCAGTCAGATAAAAATGAAAAATTCAGATAATTTTAAACCGTTTCTTTGATGCAGTAGATCAGATCAAGAAAAAAAGTTGTTCCTTTTATATTTTGCAAGCTGCACCAAATTTATTGTGTTATTTAAGAGTATTAGGCGGAATCATAAATAATAATTTTGCTACTGTGTACAAAAGGAAAGCATAATACAGTCAATTAAGTAATGAACTGGATGACCATTTACAACCAGATCATCAAGTCCTTGTAATCGCCAACTCTCATTGATTTCAGTGGCAGCTAGGCTAATACAAGGGCCAATGGAGCACCTGTCATACACAAAGATGCAAATCACTGGATAACACCAATAACTCTGTAGTGTTTAATGTTTGGGGGGAGAGGTCCATACTTACTGGAGAAGCAAAGGATATACCTAGCACACTCATAAACAGAAGCAGAGTATTCATGCTTGGGACTACTTCCTGCAAGAAATGGAAAGTATGTTATTTCTTATCAATGCCCAGGAATAATTCACAATATAATAGAGCAATAATATTTGATCAGCACAGATGGGCACTTTGTCAAACATGTGTTTTAATAGAGCCGGTTGATTTATTCATTGCTGTAGCAGAGCGGCAGAGCTCTCCTTTTCACCCACCTGATAAGCACGAGTTGGGACCTTACAGGAAGAGGCTGACTGAGCCCTGCTGGCTTATTGGACCAGCTGTGGCTTGTTCATGTCGGCCTCTATTTCGTGGAAGTGGTTCTCTTGATGGAAGGTAATGGGACCTAGGACTGAGAGACTGAAGCTAGGCTGAGGTTTATGTTTGTTATTATCAGAATGTTTGGACTAAGTAAAGTGCATTTAGATTCTGTCCGGAACAAGGAGGAAGCTCCGCGTATCTACCCCAATTCCAGTTTGAACCGTCTTCCAATGTACAGCTTAGGTCTCAGTTATATTGGCTGTGTCTAATTTCAGTTGATGCAGGACAGTGTCTTCTTCATCATGCAGGCTAGCAGCATCTGAAAGTGAGTATTATTATTTTCTGTGGGTTGAGTTCTTTTCCCATCGTTGATTTCTTCTTTTTGTCTTACTCCACCAGGTTTGCACAGGGATACTGACAAAAGTGGCAAATAATGCCCAACTGGCCTGCCTGGGATCAGCTCCTCCTGCTTTTTTATGAGTTTGGTCTGAGTTTTGAGATCAGGAACAGTCTTTACTGGTAAAAAGCAGAAGTTTCACTTGTCATCCTGCAGCAATGTTGTCATAGTTACAGGGCTAGCAGCACCTCTGGCCCCCCCTTTCTTTGGTCTTTCTGAGTGCACCCTTCTCAGGTCTCATTCCTTCACCTCTCTCAAGGTGGAATCCCACAGTTCTCCCACTCTTGAACCAGACCATAAGGTTCCTTATTCTGTGTATTTACTGTGCTTACCCAGCAGGTCTGTTTGGGGTCAGTCCTGCAAGTCTTCTCTTTAGCTGCTTGTGACCAGCAGTGAATCCAGTAAGCCAAAACAGTCTTCTTAAAACAAAGATTAATCTTAACAGTAAGAACAAAGCATAATATACGAGAAATGGATTTATAAAACAACAAAATGTCTGTTTATGCATGTCTATTTTACCTGGAGTTCTAGGCAAGTCAGTTTTATCCCAGACCCTTAATCTCTGGGGATCTGGCCTATCTGTTCCCTAAAAATAACTACCTCAGAAAGAGTCACTTTTTTTTTAATCCATCCAAGTTTCTGTTCTCTTTTCCTAGGCTTCGACTAACTGCCCCAAACCGGTTTGGTGAGCTCCGCAGGTGTTCAAGCCAGGGCATCAAAATGAATAGCTCTTGTCTTTTCTCTAGTATTTGTTGAGAAGTGTATATCAGGACCCAGCACCGCACCTCTGCCCGTTTCCCGACAATCCTGCCTTTGAATTAACTCAAACAAGACTGACAGTACACATTACTATAACCCAGGCAAGATATAGTATTCATAAATTATTACAGGCAGCTCCAAATCTGTCACATATGTAACTTGTGGTTTTCCATGTTTTCCCACAGACCAGTCATATACTTTCAGTCTCAATTATTTTGTTTTCCTTGTTCTAAAATAACAATAAAGAGGAACAAAAGTGTGTGTGTGTGTGTGTGTGTGTGTGTGTGTGTGTGTGTGTGTGTGTGTGTGTGTGTGTGTGTGTGTGAGAGAGAGAGAGAGAGAGAGAGAGAGAGTAGTA